AAGCTCTAACTATTTTTCTATCCTTTTTTCTGATATACATCTTCGACTATCGCTCTGAGATGATGTTATTTTATACTTGAGAAGCCAGCCGGATATTCTATCTTCAAGAGGGTGTCTTAAAAATATCTATTTTATCAGATTTTTTAATGACTTAGTTGTGCATAGGTATTATTATTTCTTGCTCTTTAGGTCATAGCCCCCTTAACTTGGGAGATTTTACCACCCGTTTTAGTTTTTGCTTGAATCCTATTTTTAACAAGTATTCTGTCCAACGCCATATTTTGAGCAGTAATCATTTTTACATTAAAAACTATGAATGGTAATCACACAGATTTGGCGGTATTTAAACACTTCTGGGCTAAACTCGCAAGTTAGGAATGTTATGAAAGCGGGTAGTTTTACCGCAACTGGCATAATGATAGCACTTGGCGATTGTTCAGCGCAGGTGGGGGCTAATTGATTAGAAGCCTCGGCTGTAAAGGATCTCTACCCGAATACTCCTGATTCGGAGATTAAAGAAATATTCAGCCGCCCAGGAGGGTTATGCGCCAACCGATTGAAAAAGAAAAGAAAAAAGAGGCTCACCATTCAGCAGTTATTCCGAGACCCCTCAAATATTTGGGCCTGGGGATTAACGATAAAAAGATATTTTATCTAAGTTTCAGTTCATATTTTTAATTTATTAAAATGAAAATGAAATTAAAAGTAGTATTTAACAGACAATCCCCAATAACAAGCTTGAAAATATTAATGACAGGGTAGAATGAGTATTAACAGACCTGAGTTAATAAAAGAGTGATATATTGACATATTGAGTAGTGTATTAACTAGAGTAACTGGTTTATTGGAGGTTTATATAAAATTTATACTTACAAATTAAATAATAAACTAATGAACTACGAGGTAAAAGGGATCAAATAAGATATTGTTTGGTTGTTCTTCATTTTTTAGAAGATAATACTTCGTTTTGTAAAGAGCAGTATAAGGGTAAAGGTTGGTTTTATATTATGAAATAAAGTGTGTCGTGAACAGCTTTCTCTTATACCCCACTGGCGGTCCTTTAGAAGTGAACTAAATGTGATCACATTTTTCTAGAGGGAGGCCCCCTTAGGACATAGCTGTTAACACAAGTATAACTACATAGGAACTACAGCTAAATTATTATCAAGCGACACCATTTTATGGTCATCCGCATGATACTTGGACTCCACCAGGGGCGTCAGGGGAGACCCTCCACCATCCGGGAGGATGCAAGATAATATCCATCCTTCCTGATGGAGCTCTCTACCAATTACAGAATGAGTGGGTACCACGACTCTTCACTCATGGAATATAAATCGGTTTCGATGCTACCTTTACCGATAATTCTGCACAGTAGAGTGTATAGTCTATAGTTTTAGATGCCCTCCTCAGTAGTTATTTTACAGCTATTGAGTATTGTAAGACTACGAGGTTCCTATCCTACATGGGTACTGCCGACAATGTTGTGGTACACTCTTCTTAGAATTAAAAGAGATAGTTATGACCATCGGCTGAGTGTCTAAAATCTTTTGTAGCTATATACCTCCGAAGGAGGGATATACCCCTACGGGGATATAGTTGAACTATCTGAAGGGATGATAGGTCCTCTTATGGGGACCGTAGTTTACATCCCCCTTTGGGAGATAGTTCTTACATCCCTTCGGGATGGTAGAGGGAACCATCAGGAAGGATGGCTCTTACATCCTTGGGGATATCCCAACGGGAATATAGATTGGTGATAGGATAGCTATATTAACCATGTGGGTTCGAGTCTCACCCTCGAGGTAGGGAGCATAATACTTCTATGGAGGCTACATGAGAAGTGAATCCTAATCCTGATGCTATTAACATTGTTTTGACAGAGATAGAACATGTGGATTATTTTAGTGAAGTTCTACAACCCGATGTTACCGACATTGTGACAGATTTTTAGTGTCGCTTATCAAGGATTTATTATGTTTAGCTCAGCAATCTGAGGTCTAGGTGCTATCCCGGAAGATATACGGTCCCTTGGGGTGTAAGATCAGATGGTGGCCAAGCTACGAGGATTTTACACCCCGGTTCAAGTCCCACCGGGTAAGATAGACGTCATAAGGGGTACACTGTTAGACTGTAATATATTTGTTTCTAATTTCTCTTATTGATATAGTTCACCCCTAGACCTAGGGAGGGTCAAGGATACCCAAGAAACACGTACCAACAGATACGTGGAACCCCCTTGCTAGGAGGTTGGCCTATAGACACCATACCCCAGAAGCATAGGCAACCCGTAGATATGATTGTGGACGGGGGTAACCTCCACATCCTAGTGGATGACAAGAGTGAGGATGGTAAGTTATCTATTTTGGGTAGTGAGTTGGGATTACCTTTTGCTTCTCTATCAACCAATTTATTATTCCAAGGAAATAATATGTTCTTAACTTAAACCCATCTACCTAATAACTATTACTCTACAGAAGGGTATTACTAGAAGTCCGCTCAGGGTGGTGAGAGATCTATATATCACCTATTAACTTTAGAATACAAGGGTGGTGGCCAAGGATATCTGTACCAGACATGTTATATAAGTGAGTGGGTAGCCCACCTCTAGGAATAATTTAGCATCCTTGAGTCACTCGTATGAAAAGACCCACCTGAGTCTCTTATGTCCCTCTCTCTATTCTTCGTGATCAAGACTCCACCTAAAATTAGAGAGTGATTGCCGCGTACCTTAACCTTAGCACCTAAAATCTCTTTGCTAAGTTACTATAAAAATATCATCTCCTTTATCCAGAATATTTCTATAGTTATAGCTTTTAGTAAAAATAGGTTAGCACTCGGCTGGTGAAGGGACCCACCATCCTATATACCGCAGGGTTAGCTAAGACAATGTAAAACTGGAGGGGGTCACCCGTTCTCGAGTACGATCCCTATGGACTAAGAAGAAGCACATGAAGGTGACCCTCGTCAGAGGATACGAGATCTACCATAGGATGTAACTATCCTTCATGATCTCCGGGAATCTATCATTGGCTCTTAGGATATCCTAGGGTAGGATAAAATTTGAAACCCTTAGGGGCTAGAGGTGTAGGCTGGGGGGTTGAACTAACACTACGGGATATAGGTATATACATGGGAATAGAGTAAAGATGGAAAACACTTGTGAGTAATCTAGGTTAATATGTAAATTTTACTTGTAGAGCCCTATTTCTATGGTAGTGTAAAAGTGGGACTGGGGTCCTATCTCTATTCCTAGTCCCTACGGGTAATAATTAGTAGTAGAGATATCTCTATGTATAGGACATATCGATATCGCTGTAGCTATCTTCATCAGTGTACATCAAATCTTAATATACCCTTAGTGTAATATAATGTGGTATGGTAAGATGTGAATGATTATGAATACGTATAGCACTAAATTTAGAATCATCCCTAAAGGAAAGATTCCGAAGGGATATGGCAGGATGGATGGATCTTACATCCTTATAAAATCATTTAATCTAACCTAAAAGGCTAGTCTACTATAGAGTAGGAGTGGGAGTAAAATAGAATCAAAGGATGTAGGTTCGAGGTAAAGGGATGGGCTAGAAAAATGCTTTCATTGGTTATTAATAATTTGTTTATCCACTGATGACTAACTCACGTCATCTTGTTACCAGGATCACTCGATCAGAGGTATGCCTACACACCAATAGAAAGGTGAGTGGATTCGAATCTTGCCTAAGTGATTGAAGAGAGAGTAAGTTGACATCGATAGAGAGGGCACCTCTCGGGATAGATTTAAAGATAAACTGGGTAATGGTACTCCTAGAGTTTAAGAAGGTAAGAATAACTAGAACTATCTGATAAGCCCCCTAAAACTAGTGGTTTAACTCTATAAATAGGTGTGGGCTACAAAGATAGAATGGAAAAACAGAGAAAGGAAGTCCGGATTATAAGGGAGGACCATCGAAGATCTATCACCCATCGGAAGGGTGTTTCCATAAAGCATACACCCCGCCCTCCACCATCGAACCTGCATCGTTTGAGTTAACAACTCCGTTAAACTACCTAAGACTAGAGTTAAAGGGTATTGTGGGACTCGAACCTACGTCACATAGTTGTGATCTGTTCTTCTTTAAGGGAATAGATTTCAGGTAAGCTACAAGAAGTGAGTGTCATAGTCTTCGGGATTACACCGAAGATTCATCTATTGACTGAAGTGAAGATGGACAGAGTATCCCTACCCTAATCTAGGTACATGAAAATTTAGTATAAGGAGACAAATACTACTCTTCGGTTGACTGTGGTCATAACACAGCTAACACTCGTTATTTTTAAGAAATACAAGAATATGATGCTATGTTACCCCCTCGAGTGCCACTCTCGGAGACCACCACCATCGTTTATTCCGGGTCCTTCGGGGAGAATATTTTTTTCCAAGAGTAAAAGCTAATTGAATGAATTTTCATCCGCACTTCACTCTGGGAGATTAAATTTCTTCTCCATTGCGCATGTGTCTAGTAGCGCAACCGCGGACGACTACATTCTTATCTGTTCAGAGTAGTTGTACGTGTGCAGGTGGGCTGGCACCATGAGTGGAGCGCCAGAATTAGTTTCGATATAGGGACACCCACAAACACGCCTTAGTTCTCGAAAAAGAGAATAGAGCACTGATGCGACAGAGGGATTCACCTGTGTACATGTACGGTTGACCCCGCCCTCAGTGAAGCAGTACAGAACTTTCCTCGCCGGCTGAATCTCACAGACATGCATGGTCGGATACACGGGGATCCGGCTATAGCACCTACAGTCATGATCTCAATGCATGGATCCCGCCTAATAGAACAAGCTAATACTTTAAGCGAATGCAAATACACCCCTTTAACTACAATTCGTTCATCTAGAGACCTTCTTGCGCCTTCTCCGAGTCTTCTTCGCGATAGTCGAGTCCCCATATTCATGGTTACCACCCTCATTTGAAGCCCCAACCTTACCCGGTCGACTCTGGTCAGTATTGTCCACAGTGTCCTGCACCTTCGATTTAGAAGTAACTGGCTTGAAGACGTTCCCTCTGGCGTTTGACGACGACATAATTTTGAAAATACCGCCTGTAGTCCTTTCATAACGGGCATTTCCCGTGCCGGTACCATTTGTCGACCCCTCATTGTCGGCACATGGCTTCTGATCGGGTTTGCTAAGCGGCTTAGACCGGATCATAGCCTCCTCATCCAGACCTGCATCCACACTAGCAGCCGCTTTCGCATTACCCCTGCCCCCATTGCTCTTGCTACTCGCACTCTTGTTCGTTTCCATCGCACCTGTGCTTGTCGTCCCTGAGGCCTTCGAGCGACGAGAAGATTCACTCTCATGCACCTTAGCTGAACCGGGGCTGTTGTTCGCACGCACTGCTGCAGGTCCAGTACGACTCTCACTGGTTCCAGTAGAGTGCTTACTGCTAACCGTACGCCTAGGAGGTTTAGGAAATACGTGCAACGATTTCTTTATGGCGCTATCGTCCGACCCAGGACTTGCATGTCCATCTCCACCAATCTTCGCCTCATGCGCAGTGGTGTTCGGGTGCTCAGCCGTGGTTCGTTGTGAGCGTGTCTCGTTCTTGGTACTACCGGTTGCGGTAGTTGTAGCAGCGGGCGTGGAGCGGGCGATAGCGTCAGCCTCCGCGGTGTGCGCATCAAGAGCGGAAAGGAAAGACACCAAGTGCTCGGTCCGCTGAAGCCTGATAGAGTGGAGTAGGGTAGGACAATGTGAGATGAGCAAGTTTCGTGGTAAAAGGGCTTATAGGTACCGTAACTGGTTTGGGAGTCTACTGCCGGCTCTCGCCGCAGAGTGAGTACAAAATCAATACATGTATGTGTACTAAGCCAAGGCAACAGATTTAGACGACCTTTGGCGCCTAAGCTTAGATGTAGATTTGTATCTCATAATGACTGAACAGACGTGGGTTTTGTAGTGCTACTATTGTCGCTTGGATAGCAAGCAATTACTCAATCCAATCCAAAAGGAAAAGAAAGCATAGTGCAATTCTGAAGGACCTAAAAGTACGTAGGTGGCCATGTGTTGAATACTATTGTGGAAATTGATGCAATATTATTCCTATGGCAGATAGCATCGACTATTAAAGCCTTGTTACGAGGTTACACATATGTAATCTCTTCTTAAGTGTCGGACTATATGACAATTCTGAAGGACCTAAAAGTACGTAGGTGGCCATATATTGAATGCTATTGTGGAAATTGATGCAATATTATTCCTATGGCAGATAGCATCGACTATTAAAGCCTTGTTACGAGGTTAGACATATGTAATCTCTTCTTAAATGTCGGACTATATGACAGATATCTGAGCCGCATGACGAGACTTTTACCTTACTATAATAACCCAGCGATTTAATGCAGCAAGCACCTAATGTAATGCATTAGCGAGTTAAATAAAGAAGAAATGCTTGTAGTACGACAGCACCCTCTGCGATTTACCAGGTGACGCAGTCTGTGCGCTCTGGGTAGGCATAGCGTGGCGTCGATAGTACGGTTTGCACCAGTTGTTCGTTGACGGAGTCTGCCGATTTGCGCCCGAAAGCATAGGTCGCAGCGTCGGAATCTGCGGAGATGCACAAGGAAATACATCGTTCATCATGCATAGAAGATTTTGACATTTGCAAAGCGTAGTGAGGATAGATAGACTGCTCCGATGATTGTACTCCACATTTGACAAAACTAGGCTGCAGATGCCAAGCTGGACGCACCTAAAGCGAACGCCTTTCAAAACGCCCTCAGCAAAACCACCCCTCCCCTTCCCACCCGCCCTCAGCATACACTTTCTCGCACATGACAAGCAGGATTTCACATAGTGCAGGATTTAGCGGACATATATGTGGAGCTGTGTACAAGTGCATGCAACTACGTAACTATCAAGTAGCCGTTCGAACGCGATGCGATATTCGGGCGAGTGTACGACCTCCTCTATCTGAACGAGCCACTTACAAGAGTTCCAGGAGGAGTTGCGCTTCACCCACGAGGTCCAAGCAGTGGCACCGGTGTCGTTCTCGGTACGGTTCGGCCCTAGGTTGGCTTTGGTACCCGTAACTGGAGCCATGAACATTGAATGACAGCAGTGTGCGCCTCGCTCACTTCCACAACACACAAACCGGTGGGTGCTCTGGACCGGCGTTATTCCCCGATGTGTCGAATTAGCGCTAGGCGACTTTGCCTCGACAGGGCCGTCGCTGGCGGCTAACGTATCTTGCATCTCTTCATCGCTCGTACCACATCGCTCGTCAGACACTAACCCGCCTGTGTTATCGCTTATGACTGGACATACACACGTGTGCAGGTGCTTCCTATAACAGGCAGCACCCGCCCCTTTGTACGCCCACCGCGTGCCTATAAGTCCAGATTTTAAGCTCGCAAATACCTCAGCTTTCGGCAGAGCATCAAATGCCCAAACGGGTGTGTTGGTGTAAGCAAACAAGAGCGATGGGTGCAATGACGCCGATGTGGGATCGAAGTCGTCGAACAGAGTAGCATACACATCTGACATCACTGACATACTCTCCGTGTCACTCACTCGCGCCTTAGGGTTTCTGTAGCGGTTTTGGGTTGGCACTAATTCACCACGAGCACTGGTCCCGCATTGGCCGCCTGTCTGTATACCGGTACTGCCTTGAGGGTCTTCAGCTGGCGTGCCCGTAAGTTTGCCATACACCGATGCGAGCTCATGCTTGTGCAGCGGCGCCAGCAATGCCGCACTCCGTTGCAATACACCGCCCCAGCAGAAACTATTCACACTTCCAGGGGTACGGCCTGAAGACAAATCACTGCCAAACCCTAGACTCATGCTGCTTGTGGGGTGGGGCTGTACAAACACCACCACATGACACACACTCAGCAACAAGGCCACCTTGCGCACCACCAGCGAATCTTCTGTCCGCAAGACCCCCGCCATAGAGGCGCTCTCGCTCGTAGACTTCCTGGCTGTTTTCTGTAGAGAGCTATCCGAGTCTCCATAGGCAGAGCCAACTTGAGAGTCCTTCCTACCACCCATATACTGGCCAGAGATAGTATCACCCCTACCCAGATGAGCTACCAGATCCTTAGCCCGGTCCAAAACGTCCACAGACACCGGGGCAGCATCCAGGAACAACGCCCGTGGGGCAATCCTCAGCGTGATACCCTCGTCAGTGCCACGCATACTGCCTCGCTCGACACCTTTGTCTCGACCCACATCATTCCTATCAGCACTTGCGCGCGGGTCTATACCAGTATGATACTCGATCAAACTCTCCATCACCGCAGCCTTGTCGCTCCCCTCAGTGCCCATCACGCCCACAACCAGGCAGTCGTCGCCCGCGTCCACAAGCACTTTCTTAGCCGCCGCTCCCACGAAGGTGAAGCGCTTGGACACCAACCTTAATGGCTCGGAACACACACGTCTGGTCTGCGACACGCGTGGAGCCTGTAGCTGTGCACTCACTGGCGGCGGCGGCTGGGTTGCTGCGTGCTGGTGAGTTCTACCGTCCGCTTTCGAAGCCGTGCTAGCACCCAAACCAGTGCCAAGTCTGCTACGCTGAGCGTAGGGGTCAGCCGCAGACGCAGAGCTGTGGCGCATCGACTGCTGTGCATGTACTGTAGGCATCCTAGACCCGTCGGCACCCCTGTCTCGTCTCCCACTATCTCCCGCATTCAACTGCGGTTGCTGTTGCGGTTGCGGTTGCGGTTTTCGCTGCAATATCATTGGGGTAGAGCTGCTCCCAGACGAGTTTCCCGGTCGCTCCTTGGCTGAGCCACGTGTCAGAGCTGCGGTTCCCATTCTATTGGTCGATTGGTACTGAACGTCTGCCTGGAGAGCCTGTTGGGCATTTGGGGCGACGCCGCGTGCAAATGCCTGTGCTCGCATCTGCGTATAGTTGGGCAAGATACCAGAGACCTGCGACTGCTGCGAGCTTGAGGACAAGGTGTAAGCTCCACCCACCCCCGTGGAGTCGTTCGCCCATGGTCTACCTGCAACCCGGTAATTCTGCGCAGTTCCACCTTTGCCCTGCACCAGTGAGGGGGCATCCAGGGGCGCAGCTGCCGTTGATAGCATAGGCTGAGTATGTTGGGTGTGCGATTGAGAGTGCTGCGATGATATAGGTGTGCCGCTGCGTTTAGGACTCGCGTGTGGAGAATACAGGCGCTTCCCTATACCCGCATCCGCCCCTCTGACACTCCCACTCCCGCTCCCACCGGCTCGCAGTGATGCATCTCTGTGGGTATGTCTGTCCCGGCTGGTATCCCTGCCCACACGCCCGTGCCTCTCAAACTCGCGATCCCTATCGCTTCTGCCTCTACTCTTATCTTTCTCCTGATCTCTATCCGTCGTACCTCTATTCCTCTCATGTTCCGATCCGTCCTGTATATCCCGCCGGGCCCCGCGCGCGCTCCCCGCGTCACTACTATGCAACCCACTCAAAGCCCGACTAGAGCCACTATCCTTGAATACTGTCGGTTTCTTTGCCGACTCCTTCAGAGTGACAACGTTCCGTCCTCTAAGTGGCTGTGAAGCTATCGCACCTCTGGAACTTGAAATGTCAGTGCCCCTACTATTGGCACCCGCATTCACAGGTGTTATAGCGCTCGACCCCACCTTCGTGCCTGGCACCCCATTGGCCGAGGACGTGGGCATGCGACTGCTGTACGCTGTGGCTCTCATAGTACTATCTACGGGTACAGGCTTCTCACTAGAATACATACCCCCCGCACGTCCCATCAGCGGATGTTGCTGACCCCGCAAGCCAGAAAGTGATCCCAACGAACCAGTGACAAGTTTCCCACCATTTGGCAACACCGGTTGCGAGCCTGACGGAGACGGGCTGGTGTTTGGCTGTCGCCCATTGGGTGTCGACATGGCGAAGTAGGCACACTAGCAACAAGGAGCCAGAATCGGAATCTGAGTCGAGTCATGGATGCCAAAATAAAAATATGAGAAAATATGGAACGGGGAACTGTGAAAGTCCACCGTTTCTGGGGGAGCTCACCGTGTGTAGCATAACGTAATAAATGGTCATAGGGAAGGGCGAATGAAGGCAACTACAATTGACAATAGGAAGAGTAGCTCCTGGTATCAGTCAGTCACAAAGTGGCAGAGAATTCGAACAATCAATTCAATAAAAAGTATAAGGGACTGAAAATTAACAAAAACTGGAATTGGCAACCACAATTGTATAATATGTGTAAACAAGATGCTGATTGTACAGAACATTATAATTATTATACATTATTATAAATATAAAAATAACAATATCTATACCTACATCAAGGTACTAGATGTGAGAGCATACAAAAAATATAAATCTTTATATATAAATATAT